GTTCCTCAAATTTATCTCATTTATCGATTTGATTTCTCAAATTTATTTTTTATTTATTTAGTCCCTTGTATTTTCTTAAATTATTATGTAAATCTTTTAAGTTTTAAAACACAAATTGACTATCAAAATAATCTAATATACAAAGTATAAGGATGACTTGGCATGTATATGTAGTTAAGTGAGAACAAATTAACCTTCAAATTAGTTTAATTGTTATCAATATAAACTGCAGCATTGAAATTTATAGTCCAAATTTTACAATTCTATATTTTTGTTGAAGGATTATATTTCTATAGTTAGATGTCATTCAAGAAGGATGAAAAAAACTCATTCTTATATAAGATTATTTTCATTTTGCCAAGATTTTCAAATTAAAAAAAATAATATTATATATATTTTGGTTTTTAAGTTTTTATGTACTGATTCATGTAACAGTTTACTAATATGGTTCATTTTTGTTTTTCATAGTTAGAAGCAAGTAGTTGATTGAAGGGCTTTCAAAACTTGCATTTGTCCCCATAAAGCTTATCTAGTTTTGCTCTTCGATCAATATTGGAAGTTAGGGTCAAGCTCTAGTGTCCTGCCTCAAGTGTTCAGATGATATTGGGCTATTAAAGTGTTGTAATGTTGATGAATAAATAAAAAGTGTAATGATGTTTTGCAGGTTGTGTTTGTCGTCGTGATTACTACATTGTCGTTGTTCAGATTTTGTGAGGTATGCTTGATTTGGTGTGTCCAATTATTATGGAGAGGTGTTGTCATATTTTAGTTACCTCTCCAGTGTTGTTTGTGAAACATGAGATTTGAAATATTTTATGTTAAAGTGTGGTGTTCTCATCACAATGTTCCTGCTTTGTATAATGTGGTATGTGAGTCTTTAAGATAAACTAGTTCTAAATTAATTTTTTGTTTATACATCATGAACTGGAGATTAACCTTGTGGTATAATTAAATCTGTGTTAGTGAAATTTACTGCATTCAAGAGTATTGCACAAAGTGGGCGTGTATTGAATTCCCTAGATGGGCAGAATTATTCTAACATGAAGAGCTCTGTCAATAAACATAATAGTAGTGGATAACTAAATGTTGCAATTTCCTAGAGTGCACAAGAATTTTGTACCAGATAACTAAGAAATTTTTCAACCAAGATGATATTCTTAGTTATGATTACAACATTAATTTTACAGTGAACTGAACAACCATGTAGCAAAAACATGAATGTATGCATCTGAGAAGTGAGAACATCCCAGTCTTTTGTACCAAAAACCACAACACTAGATAGAATACCGGCACCAGCAGCCAAAGTGCAAAATATGTGATAAATATCAAGGGACTAGACATCAAATGAGTGTGCATATTGAACATGAAAAACTACACTCATAGAAGATGATGTCAAAACCTGAAGAAACTGATAAGAGGTGAAACAATCATGGACAACTTATTCATTTTCCTTCCAACAGAGCTCAATATGTGACATGACAGGTCAATAATCATCTTCAAATATATGGCATATAGCTACCAGTTTAATCTTAAACTGTCGTCTTGATGCCATTATTATTGAAGCTAAGGGGCCATTCTAAATAGAGACAGACATGTAATCTCAGTTTTGCACGTTTTGTCATGAAATCTGAACTTAGAGAGAATGTCATACTGTTTGTCAGAAAGACAAAAACCTGCTAATTGCAGTAAGCCAAGGCAGGGCATTCCTCTAATAAACAAAAGGTTTTAGTTTTCTCAAGTCTCAACCGCCAATTAACGTCCACATGACAAATATGACAGCTTAGGTATGAATTCAAATTTATTGGCTCGAGAAAAAAACAAAGCCAGCAAATCATTATTAGTGTTTTTCCCCCGGAGAATGGAAATATTGGCTTTGTGACAAACAAAACTGAAGTATTGTTGTTACTAAAACTGAAGAATCCTAACTCGTGCTCTTCATTGATCATCTTTCAATTCATAGTTCTCTCCTTCCTCTGTCACTCTGCTCACATGAATCACATGCGTTTTCCATAGCAGACATAGACAACAAACAGCTGCTTAATTCCTTAACTTGATCCTGAAATTTTAGAATATTTGATTTCATGCTTAAGTTAAAAATTTATGATTTTGACTAAAACACAGAATGGATCAGTACATTTATGATCTTGAAAAAAAAATTCTTAATAAAACAAAAAATTGAAATCTGATTGAGTTAAAAATAGTTCTTGATTGTATCAGAAATTGAAAAAAAATAAAACTAAAATATCCTTGTAATTATTTTGTAACATGCGAACGAATCAAGATTGTCTCTTGTAAAAAAGCTCTCATTTTACGAGAGGCAATTTGAAAAAGTGTGATAGAAGTTTCTTAAATTTTATAACTTTTCTCATAAAAAAAAAAAAAACAGAGAGGATAGATGATTGGATTGAATTCAAAGGCCTCACTTTCTACAAATGCATAATCATTAAGTAATTGGAGTAAAATGTTGAGTAATTAACTTTTGTTTTTCCTGTCAAGTTAAACCGGTTCTAAATTACGGGTAGAAAAAAAAAAAGGGGGGGTTCTAAATTAAATTTGATTATACATGATGCAGAGATGGAGATTTTAAATGGAGACAAACTTGATTCGTCATAGTTTAGTCCGTGCTAAGGTTATTAAACTCATAAATTTAAATAAACTTATAGTAAAAATATAAATTTAAATCGTAAACTCATAAGAATTCACCTCTATTTATAAATAGTCATTAAAAATTTATTATTAAATAATTAAAATATAAAATATAACCATAATTTAATTTAAATATATGTAAAATATATTTATTCTGTAAAAAAATATAAGATATTTTTAATTAAATTTTATTCAATAAAGTAGCTACTTACTTTCAAATTAATCATATCTTTTTTTATTTACCCATGTTTAATAGAATGTTTCAACCTAAAATAAATATAAAGTGATTTATTCAATAGAAACACTTTTAAAAAAATGTAATGATTATAGTTTGAAAGACTAAAAATATTTTAAAATTTTTAATATCCAACCCTTCAAAAAATGTCTTATATTTTTTAACAAGAAAAATAAATTATTAAAATTAAACACATCTATATAGATTAATTATCATATAAAATATAGAAAATTTAAAATAGGGAAACTCATATTTGATATTTTTTGCTTTCTTTTTTATTAATATTAGTTTTTGCTTTTTAGGTTTTTTTTTCTTTGGACTAGGTTCTATGACTTTTATAAGCCGAATTCTTAATATCAGTATATATTTAACTCGTTTAACTCAAAAAAAAAATCAACGAGCCTAACAAGTTTAACAAGCTTACATATAGTCTAAATTTATGAATTAATTGATATAATTTTATAAGCTTAAAACATAAAAATGATAAACTCAAAGATAAACTTGTGAATTTAACCGATTTTATATCTAATTTGAGTTTATAAGTGAATTTATACAATTTTATAAGCTACAAACGTTAAACTCGGAAAGTAAATTTAAGAGTTTGACAACTATAATCCCTGCTGTATTTATTTCCATCGAAAATATATATATATATATATATATATGAGATAATATAAAGAGGATGAAGAAAATTAATGGGTTCACCTTCAAAATGACCATCTTGCCCCAGGTGGCTTAGCCAAATTCCATTTAAACCAAGGCATTCTAGAAATAGACATAGAGTCGTTTCAACGACCACACTACTGCATCGTTTCATACAAGCAAAGAATTTGGGAAAAATAAACAACAAAAAGTCGATGACTGCGTAACATTGACTTGGTTAGTATTTATTCCACACGCAAAGACTCGTCAACGATAATAATTGCTTTTTTTAAAAGACTCGGTTGGGCCGAAAAACAAACTTTAAAGACTTATAACAACGACAATGAATTGATTTTTTATTTCCGTAGTTTTTTTAAAAAAAGAAAGGCAAGCAATTGAAACATTTCTTATATTGAGCGGAAATTTTTATGTTTTGATAAATCATAAAAAAAATCTCTTAAACTTTGCAATAATAGCTCTACAGAAGGGAAAATATAAAAGGGGAAAAATATATTAATTTGCAAGGATAAGTAGTTTTGTTATTGTCGAAAGGAGACTCCAATGTTCAATATAATTGAGTGTGATCTGGGGAGACGACTTTTCAAGCGTGAATGAGTATATACATTTGAAATTTTTAAAAAAAATATATAATTAACATTCTTTTTTTTTTTGTATTTTCCCTGAATGTATGAATATGTTAATAATAGAATAAAGAAATTTTGTGATGAATACATCTTAATTTCCACTTACATATGCTTCCTCCGATCTTTATTATAAAATATTTTTAATCATTTCACACATCTTGAAAAAAGTTATTTTTTTATATAATAAAAAGTCACATATACTCTCATTTTTTATCATTAACTTTAAATAATAATACAACTAGATTAAATACCTTTACGTTAATAAAAAATAAAATTAAAAAAATAATTTAATTATTATAAGATATTCTATATTTTGAACTAAAAATTACTTTTAAAAATATTTTATAAATAAGATCAGAAAAAATATGGTAAAAGGCATGTGATTGAAAAAAGAGGAGCGAGCAAAAATGGAGTGTTGAAAAAGTGTTGAGAGGCCAAATTTCAATTTCATTTCAGGGAATTAAATAGCAAACTTTATAATTTTTTTAGAGTTACGTGTAATTTCATAATCCTTTAATTTGATCTTGATTTTAAATTAATTGGCTGCTTATTACTGAAATTTTCCCACCTTTACTGGAATAATGAAATTAAAACCCAATAATATATAGTTTAAGGAATATTCTTCCTATTGTCCCCATTTGCAAGGGTATTATTAGTCTCAAGTTTTCATAAAATTAAAAAAAAAATTGTAATCGTGGAAATAGTCAAAAAAGGGGGGGGGAAGGAAAAAAAAGAACTCCACTCACATATATAAACCTCGGGGGAGAAATGACAAACCCTACACCTGCAGAAACCCCTTTCGAAAGCACTTGCTTGGTAATCCAACAAGCATAATGAACATGCTTAGTTTCGCATCACGAATCTCATTTCTTCTGCTGATGCTGCTATGTGCCCTCACATTCCACAGAAGCTTCAGCTGCCATGACAGGGATCGAACTTTGCTATTAATGTTCAAACAAGGCGTTGTTGATCCTTCAGGCCGCCTCTCCTCTTGGTCCTCTACGAACCAAGATTGCTGTTCATGGCAAGGAGTTACGTGTGATCTCGACACCAGCAGGGTCCGATATCTTCTTTTGTCCAATTACTTCACGCAAAATGAATCCTTGAGAGGTGAAATCAACTTATCTTCTTTACTCGCACTTGAATTTCTGGAAGCTCTGGACTTGCACTACAATGATTTTGAACGTTTAAGCACACCATCTCTAAATAATTCTGCTGCAAATTTTTCTCGGCTTTCTTCTCTCGGCCTATCATACAACATGCATCTTCCCATTGATAATCTTCATTGGCTCTCTAAACTTCCTTCCCTAACATCGCTCGCACTTGGTGGCATTCATCTTCCTAGTGAAACGAAATGGGTTTCACTCATTGGCTTCGCTACCTCTGGAGGGCTTATATTTGGATGATTGTAATTTGACCAGATCTATTTTATATCTAGAACATGCTAATTTTAGCTCACTTTCACAGCTTGATCTCGGTCTAAATGATTTTACCTATGGACTACCTAATTGGTTGTTCAATCTTAGCAAAGATCTTTCCTATCTTCAACTCGATCATTGCAATTTGAGAGGTCCAATTCCAGATTTTTCAAGCTATCGAAATCTATGGGCGTTAGATCTATCTGACAACAAACTCGAAGGACCGATACCTGATTGGCTGGGCCAGTTTGAAAAATTATTTGTGCTTGATCTCTCTGTTAACTCGTTTCACGGTTCCATTCCTTCTAATCTCGTAAACGCATCACAAATAGAATATTTAAATATCAGCTTCAATGACTTGAGTGGTACACTTCCAAAAAACCTTGACAAAAGGCAATTTGCAACTTTGGATTTGTCTCACCACTCAATTAGTGGAGATATATCGAACATGTTGCTGGACGGTGGGTATATTTCTATGTCATTTAAAAAATTCAAAGGACGGCTTCCTCGAGTATCCAATCAGGTCTCAGTTTTGGATTTAGCTTACAACTCTTTTTCAGGATCTTTATCGTCTTTATTGTGTCACCCTGATCCGATCAACCAGCATTGGTTGGGGTATTTAGACATATCAAATAATTATCTGGCCGAAGAACTTCCTGAATGTTTGGGCAGTTGGACTTCCTTGTCTTATATATACCTAGGGAATAATCGTATGGTTGGTCAAGTTCCTCCAAGGATGGGTTCATCGTTTTATCACCTGAAGGTGCTAGATCTACATAATAATAAGTTTTCTGGTCATGTACCTTGGACCTTTCATAATTGCACATATTTGGTGCTGATTAATTTAGAAGGCAACCACTTTTCTGGAAGTATGCTAACATGGTTACCACAAAATGTATCAGTTGTGAAGCTAAGATCCAATCAACTCACGGGCACCATTCCTCCCCAACTATGTAGTCACTCTAGTTTGATTGTATTAGATCTTGCAAATAATAAACTTTCAGGACCAATTCCTCAGTGTCTACTCAATATAACCAGTATGATTACAGGAGTTCTTGCAAATGCTTTAACCATCGAAGTAGATCATATCTCCACCTTCCTTCACTTCAATTCAGAATTGTTTTGCACACAAAGGGTCAACAATTAGAGTATGTGAAAAATCTAAAACTTGTCCGGAGTTTTGATCTGTCAGCTAACAGACTATCAGGAGAAATTCCTGCACAATTGTTCAAGCTCACCAAGCTACAATCCTTGAACTTGTCTTACAATTATTTGACAGGAGAGATATCTGAGCACATTGGAGATATGAAAAATCTAGAATCTCTTGATTTCTCCCATAACAGTCTTCATGGGAACATTCCTCAAAGCATGGCTGGTCTATCTTTTCTAAGTGATTTGAATCTCTCATACAACCATCTCAATGGACAAATCCCACTGGGGACACAGCTTCAGAGTTTTGACGCGTGGAGTTATATTGGGAATCCAGACCTTTGTGGAGCTCCTCTTCAAAAGAACTGCACAATACCAGAAAAACCAGACAATACAAAGCAGGTTGAAGGAAATGACGAAGATGCTTTTTTGAGATCATTGTATCTTGGGATGGGAGTTGGATTTGCAGTGGGATCCTGGATAGTTTGTGGTTCTTTGTTCCTGAACAGAGCATGGAGGCACGCTTACTTTCAATTCTTCAATGGTGTGGTGGATCGAATATATGTCACTGTGGTCATAAGACTTCAAAGATTCCGTTGAATGGGAACAAGAAACAGCACTAAGTTAGTTAAGAAGTTTTTTTTTGCCTTGCTTAAATTCAAAGTTATCTTTTTTTTTTTTGATTAGATGCATAATAAAAGTGAAATCTTCATTACGTAAGGAAATGACTATCTCTTTATGAATCTTTATCAAAGCTATAGGATACATAATTAGTTTCATCTGTTTTGAAAGAATCAAAATTTATTTATTTTCTAGTTTTAAATTTTTGAACTGACGAAATCTATTCTTATAATATTCAAATTAAATTGTTGCTCCCAATGCATCTCGAAAAGAAAGTTGTTTCATTAAACAACATTCAAATTTGTAGTCCAAATTTTCACGTCTATAGTCAGATGTCATTCAAGGAAAAAAAAAAAACTCATTCTGATATAACATTATTTTTAAAGACGATGAAATTTTTAGTTCCTCAAATTTATTTCAATTATTGATTTGATCTTTTAAATTATTTTTTATTTTTTAGTCCCTTGTATTTTCTTAAATTATGATATAAGTCCTTTAAATTTTAAAACACAAATTGACTTTTAAAATAATCTAATCCATAAAGTACAAGAATGACTTAGTATGTATACGTGGTTAAATAAGAACAATTAATCTTTAAATTAAGGCTGCACAAAGGACTAACCCAACATGATTTCAACCTAACTGAAGTTTAATCCTTTTCATGAAAAGGATTGAGTTAAACAACTCATAGTCTGGTCTGATCTTGGTGTAACCTGAAGCTAAACAAGACTGGATAGGTCTAGTAAAACTAGGAGACTAATCTCAATCTTGTCCAGTATCTCTATATTTTTTTCATCTATGAAAGGCAATAATTTATTTCAACATAATAAACTCAATTAACATAATAAAATTACAGGAAAACATAACTTTTGTTTCTTGCACTTTACTCATGTTTTGCTATAGATCCTTGTACATTTTTTGGTATTCTAGGTCCCTACACTTTAATTTTTTAATGTTCTAAGTTCCTAAATGACTAAAATGATCAAAGTGTAGAGACCTTAAGTGAATGTAAAACACCAAAAATAAAAGTATAAAGATCCAAAATATTAAAAAAAAAATACAAGGACCTATAGCAAAATACAAATAAAGTGTAGGGATCAAAAGTTATATATTTCCTAAAATTATTTATAGTCATGTAAAATTTATCACAACAACAATAATTATAAATTTATAACAATCTCCAACAATAATAAAAAGTATTTCAATTACAACACAAATGATTCAAATTAAACAACCTTCAACATGTCTAAAATCTATTACACCCAAATTAATAAATTTCACTAATAAAAGGAGAAGATTGAGGTTGGTCAATGCTAAAATTTAGCTTAGTATTCATGACTTCACATATATAAAACACAAAAAATTATTAATTATTATAAATCAACTTATTGTAATAATAATTAATAAATTAATTATAATTATATTAAATAAATATATAGGACCAGACCAAGTGGTCCAAATACTCAGTCTCTTGTCCAGTTCAATCCAAAAAAAAAAAATCTGACCCTTTTGGTCTTGAGAGATCATTTTTTTCTAGATCGAATTGGACTAAATTTATCTCAGATTAGATGGAATCAAATAAAATTAAAAAACTTTTGCACAACCCTATTTTAAATTAGTTTAATTTTTTTAATATAATTCCTAGCAATGTGTTTTATTCTCTTATTTTTTTTAAAATCATATATAACTAGGCTTTTATGTACTGATTCATGTAAGTAAACTGACATTATTCATGTTTGTTTTCGCAGTAATGAGCTGTTGATTAAAGGGCCTTCTAGGTACTGCACACATCCTCAAAGCTCGCTAGTTATGCTCTTGTGTCGGAAGCTTTTAAGTGTTCAGATGCTTTTGGTGATGTTGATGACCCCAAATCCGAATACAAAGTGTGATGATGTTTTGTGGGCTGCGTGTATATCATTGTGATTACTTTGCTATTTGTTGTAACAACCTCAAAAAAATTTAATTTAAAATTAATTAAGTTAATTAAAAGTAAATGAGTAATTTTAAAAAAATATTTAAAAATAAATAATTATTTTTAAAATATTATTATTGAATTTAATTTAAAATAAATTAAATTCTAAATTATAATTTTTTTAAAAAAATAAATTATTATTATTATCGTTACAAGAGAAAAAAGATATGTGAAATTAAAAAAATAAAATTAGGAACGGATTTGTACATGTGTGTGTAGGGTGTAATATTATATTAAAAAAAAAGAGGAAAAGGAGATAGACGTTGATGTGTGTGCGCGCGCGCAAAAAACAAAAAAAAAAGAGAGAAGAAAAGGAGATGGGAGGTGGAATCATGTATGTTAGTTAATATGTA